TTTGGTAGATCTTTGGTTGATAGTTACCAATGGAGCAGTCAGTGATGCGTCATGCATGACGCATGCTTCCCTTAAAAATATTAATTAAAGCATACAAAAATCACTTGGTATATCGCTAAAGCATTAAAATAGCCAAACAATTGCATAGCCGATGGTTTCATGATATTAGTCACAAGTGGTCCTTAGAATGTCGTTAGCCTAAGTAGTTGTAGCTTCAGTTGGTTCGGCAAAAGGACACGAAAACCTCGGCATTGGTCAAGTTTTATGTCGTCATGATACCAATTGTAAAAATTAATTCTCTCATTTTTTTACAAAAAAAAAAAATCTATTATGTTTCCTTAAAAAAAAAAAAGAAAAGAAAGAAAAACATTATTTTTTTCTTAATATGTACTTGAGGCTTGTTTATTGGGCGTGGTTAAGAGCGCGCGCACAAGTGTTAAGCCGCGAACCTTTTTTAATATTTGCTTTTAAAATGTTGTTTTTATTTTATTTTATTTTTTTATATTTGTTGCTTATATAATACAAATCTTTCGTCTCATTTTATTTACATAATATATTTGAATTTAAAATTTTTTATTTTTTATTTTAAAAATTATTACTAAATTAATTAGGTCATTGATAAATATTATTTTTATTTAATTTAATTATTAATAATAATATCAATTATTTTATAATTTGAGTAGAAAAAATTTGATTTTTTAATAACATTTCAAGTTTAAATCTATTGTTATATAAAAATAAATATTGAGAAAATTTTTTATTTAACACAACTTGATTATTAATTAATTAAAAATTAATGTAATTTTTAGATATTAGAAAATTAGTAAAAAAATGTTAAAAAATAACACATAACAATAGTTATAACTAATAATTAAAAATAAATAATATAATTAATTGTTTAAACCTTCTTGTTATGCAGGTTTTTTTTTTTGGTCATCGTCATGCAGCTGCTTGGTTGGAGCAACTGCACCTCAACCGCCTTTCGGTATCACAGCAAGGTACTTTTACCATTCTAGAAACATGAGGTGCGCATAATTTGGGGCAAAAACCTACTCGTAGCTTTTATCTTTGAAAGTTTAATATTTTACTTTATATTATAATACTTTCGGGCCTCTCATATTATTAAATTTATAAGTTTTAACCTCTAATTTATTAAAATAAAAAAAAAACCCTCACTTTATACTGACTGTTAATTTTGTTAACTGAAAATAAATTTTATCAACTAACAGTCAATTAATAGCTAATTAATAAAATTAACAAAATATTATAAAATTAATTTTGTTAATTATGTTAGCTGGAAGAAGGGCTTTGACAATTAACAACCAGTTAAAAGTGTTAATAATCAATTAATAAAATTAACAAAATATTACAAAATGAGAATTATTTTTTTCAATTTTAATAAGTGACAAGTTAAACATGTCATAATATAAAATAAAATATTAAAACTTACAAATCTAGTAAGATAAGAAGTTAAAAATGTCATATTATAAAATAATAAGTTAAAAACTTCAAATTTTGACAAAATCAGGAGCTAAAATAGGCTTCTGCTCATAATTTAGTCGGCAAAACAGTACTAAACTAATAGGTACTTTTCGTATTGGGTTCGAATAACACTTGTTCCTTAATAAATTTGC